ACCCCCCACCATGGGACAGCCGGGGATCACCCTCCCACCCCTCACCTCCACCCAAACCACGTTTGCCCCCTGACCCCCATCACCCCCCCCAGGGTGGGGTGGGTGCCCCCCTCCCCAGCACCCACCTCTCCACGAAGATGCCGGCCTGGACGGCGTGGACGATGCTGCGGAACTTGCGCTTCTCCTCCGCCCGTCGCCCCTTGGCTCGCGCCTGCTGCGTGAAGGTGGCCGCCAGCCAGTCCCGCACCTCGGAGGGCACAGCCGCGTCCGAGCCCATCTCCCGCAGCTCATCCTCCGTGTCCAGCATCTGCCTGCGGGACGGCAACGGGGCGGGACGGACGGATGGATGGAGGGTTGGACGGAGGGACAGATGGAGGGAGGGATGCAGGGACGGATGGAGGGTCGGACAAATGGATGGAGAGATGGATGGATGGAGGGACGGAGGGATGGATAGAGGGAGGGACGGATGGAGGGAGGGATGCAGGGATGGATGGAGGGTCGGACAAATGGATGGAGAGATGGATGGATGGAGGGACGGAGGGATGGATAGAGGGAGGGACGGATGGAGGGAGGGATGCAGGGATGGATGGAGGGTCGGACAAATGGATGGAGAGATGGATGGATGGAGGGACGGAGGGATGGATAGAGGGAGGGACGGATGGAGGGAGGGATGCAGGGATGGATGGAGGGTCGGACAAATGGATGGAGAGATGGATGGATGGAGGGACGGAGGGATGGATAGAGGGAGGGACGGATGGAGGGAGGGATGCAGGGATGGATGGAGGGTCGGACAAATGGATGGAGAGATGGATGGATGGAGAGACGGATGGAGGAAGGGATGCAGGGACGGATGGAAGGTCAGAGGAATGGATGGAGAGATGGATGGATGGATGGAGGGACGGAGGGACGGATGGAGGGTCAGACGAATGGATGGACGGAGGGATGGAGAGAGGGATGGAGGGACGGACAGATGGAGGGACGGACGACATCAAGGGTGGGCATCACCCCCTATACATCCCCCACCTGCCACCCCCCGGCTCCCGCCCCACACCTCGTCTCGTCGATGTAGACGGCCTCCAGCAGCGCAGCGGCACATTCCAGGGTGCTCTTTCG